TAAAACTTTTTTATTTTTTATTTTGAAGAAATGGAGGACTGTGGATGGCAATATCAGTACAAAACATCCTAGTTATAAAGTTCTAGCATGACTATAACATGGCGGTTCAATTTTGAGAATTTTAAAAGCATATGAATTTAGTACAGGGAATTCGAGAACTTATCAAAGTAGTTGAATTTTTCCCATGCTCCACACAGGGGTGGGGGGGGGGGGAGTGCTCACTGGGTGTTCATAATTCTCGCAGAGGATCATATGTACGTAAACACACGCACATAAAGTTAATAAAAAAATAATCATCTCATATAGTAGGCCTACGTCGACTTATATATCTAAAGGTATAAAATATATTAGTTATCCTTCTCAAACCGTTTTCGATAATTGTCAATAGTACCAGATTGCAATGGGAAACGAGTGTAGAGTTGTTGATTAGCCATTTGCACCCATTATGTTTACAAAGAAGTGCACCAAATCATACAGACGCCCAGGTGTGGTTGGATATATGCGAATTTATGGTACCTAAGATCTACGGTAACGTCTAAACGTAATATTTTTTATCGGAAATGCACAAAACAGATGCAATAGTTTTTTTTCAACTTTAGACGAAGACTGCGTACACAAACGAGCTCAAAATTCCATATAAATTTTACGTCAGAGCGGGCATTACTGTGTACTATCATCTTCAGTATGAAATAATCAGTATCTCGCTTATACATCCGAAGTTCAAAAATCCGACTTTAGGCATCATTCGTATTGAAGTGCCCTTTGCAGCAGTAACGACCGATTTCAAATCAAATCAAATTTACCGATGTCTGATGTACCGACCGTTGAGTCTAACGGAAATATTTCAATCCTTCCTTACACAGCTATTTTTAAACATTAGTGCTTCGTACTCGATATACATGCAGATCACTTCGTAAGCTACAACAAAAGACACAAAACATATATTTTTAGATATATTTCACAAAATATTTCGTCATAAATCACGGTGATATATATTTTTTTTTCTGATATTGGTATAAAAGTGTTCCTGGAACATTCACGAACTCATATCTATGTGCAATGTCATAATCAATTTACATGTCCTTTTGGGGTCTCGTTTCTGAGCAGCCTGTGCCGTTCCGAAAATCGAAAATGGGTTCGTTTAATGAAAACGTAAGCGAAGAATATATATATTGAAATATGGAGAGTCTGAGGGTGTATACAACCTAATTCACTTTTAGATGCGAACTAGTGTTGAGCCGTATTCATGTATATCCAACACATGTTCAGTAGCACATATTCCAGGACCTACAAAATCACTGGTCAGTGCAATGGGCCGGTAATTACTCCGCATAGATGTCTTAATTCGTATCCTTCAATACTGGAACAAGTTTTAGATAAATTATCTTGTACGTATGAGTGATTTGAACATGGCGTAAATAACAGACTTAGCAGGACGTGCAGGGTCGAATGAGCGTGCACTACATGGTGTCGTGACAGTCCGCCATGACCCGGATTGCTCGACCTGTTAGAGGGTATGATAGTTGCTCTTACTTCATTCACGGTGATACGTTGATGTGGCTTTTCATGACCCGTTACTTTAGAGACCTTAGGATGCGTCACTTATTATAGTGTAAAACAGCTCAGCTATGTTGTCAGCATCAGTAACTCCCTCTATAGTGTTAATTTTGTTAATTTCCTGCCATTTTTTTCGAGTTGTCCTTTAAGTACAACGGTAAGTTATTTGCATCGATAGCATATTTGTACTGTCTGCACCAATTAAGGGATCTTTTAAACTGTAACCTAGTAGGTCACATGTTACAATACAGCTGGCCATACCTGGGCCTCCCGAAGTCCCGACAAGTGAGAGAAGCTACTCGAGCCCGGCTATATTTTCCTTTCTATTCAGGAACCTGTACAGGATTAGTGCCACCATGTGCAGACTGTGTGCTCCACGATGTTTATATGGCAGAAAATGCTACTCACATCTACGTGTATATCTTATAGTTCTGAGTCATGAAAGAAAGACTATGCGTCGGACACCTCATATTTTGTACTCTTTGACATCAGCTGGAGAGAGGTAATGGTGGGGGACGATCCTGCTAGTCAGAGAGCCCAGAGAGATTTAATCAGCATAGCGAATACAAAAGGTTTGACACCTGGGTTGAACACCTAAGGGGCCATGGATCTCTAAACGGCCATTCTTAAGTGAACACGTTGTGGGTTTGGCCACTTAAGAACGACCCAATTAATGCTAATTATCACTTTTAATCAGCACGTTGAGTACATCAGTGAAACCTTTACAGAATATACTTTATGGCATGCTGATATCATATTGCCACTTAAGAAGAGGTCAAAGGTAGTGACCCGCCCAAATTCCGTCTTCCGGTACCTTTAAAAATGACTGCTACTCCCTTACTATTTGGAGTACTGGGTCAAGATTGGACTTCAAATGTAGATTTTAATGGGAGGAATAAAGATCACTTGTTTAATCATCCATTCTCGGGTACCGTTATTACACACACAAAAAAAAAGTGAAAAAACGGGTACCTGTTTTACTCGCACTGGCTTTAAAGTTTTATCAGCATGGTTGAGTACATCCATGAAACCTACACCAAAATGTTCGTGTACAAACACATAATAAGAATCAGTCATTCTTAAGTGTCAAAATTTCGGACAAATCCACTTAAGAACAACGGACAGGTCAAAGTGTACTCATTGATCCAACCAAAGGTTTCAATCATCATGCGGAGTACATCAATAAAGTATATTCTGTAAAGGTTTCACTGATGTACTCAACATGCTGATTAAAAGTGATAATTAGCATTAATTAGGTCGTTCTTAAGTGGCCAAACCCACAACGTGTTCACTTAAGAATGGCCGTTTAGGGATCCATGGCCCCTTAGGTGTTCAACCCAGGTGTCAAACCTTTTGTACTCGCTATGCTGATTAAATCTCTCTGGGCTCTCTGACTATGCACATCGAGGGTAAATGACAGAGGTCTGTGATCTGAACCAGTTGATGCATGACACAGTGAATCTGCGGTATCAATATGTCAGGAACCACCACTTGATCCAGCCACCTAGTGTGTCCTGTGGCATCACTGACCCATGTGTAGGTTTCACAAGATATTGTTTGCAAAACTGCTGCAGTTCCTGACCAAATACTGACTATGAGCATTGAAATCACCTAGTGATAGCACTAGGTACTATCACTCGTGGTGATCCATTTAATCGTGGATTTTGGCTAAATAGTCTACATACATATCAATGTTTCTGTCATCATCGTAACGTAGGTAGCAGTTCATAAGAACCCAGCGTATTATCATGGTATAATAGCCTAATGCCGTGTATCACGATACGGTGAATATGAGAAGCTAAACATTCATTATACAAAAACGCAAGACTAATATAATATATGTATGTATATATATAATATAATATATGTATATATATAATATAATATATGTATGTATATATATGTATATATATAATATAATATGTATATATATAAAATGATATATATAATGTATATATATAATATATGTATATATTTATATTACATAATATATATATATAATTATATATATATATATATATATATATATATATATATATATATATTATATATATGTTGACAAATGTAGAAAGGTATGAATGGGAATGAATATCTTCACAGTACAAGATATGCATTTGACCGGTTTCGAATATATATTCGTCAGAAATACATACATTTGAGAAAATACACAGCATAATGATCGTGAACTCGCGCTCGTTATACACATAACTGCTGCCGCGACCTTGGATAGTTTGAATCTATCCGATGCGGTGTTTATATATTTCTCTGTCGCGATGTATTCAGCTTCCATGACCTTCCTTTTATATTTGTTTAATCCTTCCTGGATTATTTCGGCTTCTTTCCAGTTCGGTAGATGTCCAGCTTCATCTACTTGAACCATCATGGCGTTGGAAACCCTATGGTAACGGACGTCGGCTCGATCGATGTTCGTTGATCCTGGTGTTGAAACCACGTCCCGTTTCACCGTAGTATGCTTTATCGCAACTGATGCTGGGTTTGCGGTATACAGCATTGTTGGGGTTGTTTTTCGGTTGTTTCTTGTCACGTATTAGGTCATGTATCATCATTTCCCCGGATGTGCTGGCGATTTTCATTGTATTGCCAAAGTATTTGCTGATCGCCTGGGAGAGATTACATGGAGGTAATACGAGAAAATCAGAAGGCATCACAGGGTTGGATCTCGAAAGTATGTCTCCTCCATCTTTCTGAGGTTCAGCAGGAGACCTTTGGGGTATTTATGTTTCATGAAAGAATTAATTACATACGTAACTTCACTTTCAAGGAACTCAGGGCTGCTGATCCTCAGTGCCCGGAGGAAGAACCCAATTACACACACACACACACCACACACTCATACATACATATATATGTATATTAATATGTATATTGCATATACATAAACACATATTATATTGTACATACACATATATGTATGTATGTGTATTGTTAGGTAGATAGATATTTTTACATATATATATATACATATACATATATATATACACACACATATCAGCAATGTATGTAAAATCATATATCGCAACATATACTAAGAGGCGTGAATGTCGGTGGAAATACAAGTCAATTTTATACACAAACACACACCCACACGTGTAATGCAAACTTGTCTGGCATATTGTGATGTAAATGGCCATATACAGCACTAGAAGTTTTCAAGGAACAGTTTGAAACACTTAAAGGAACAAATGTGTTAGAGGCAATAAAGTGTTAAATAGTGGTCGTTGTGGATGTTACTAACATGTTGCTGAGTCAGATGACGTCACACTTCGTCCAATGGGAAGGAGGGATGCTTCATTTCTCGGGTTTAGTGAGCGCGAATGACGTCCTCCGCCTGGCCTACTCGTTTCCCCAATAACGTCATGTCGCTGCCTGTTTTAGGAAATGGCCAATTAAGCCGCCTACAGGCTATATAAAGAAGGACTCTT